ATTAATTAGGTGCACTCCCAAATTTCATATTCTTATGTTTTGTACAAAAAAATTAAAATAAATCCGTTGAGCCATCCGAATAAGATCAGACGATCAAAGGTTCACTTGTGACATTATGGCCGATGCTATCCGTAGCATACACGCCTAGTGCCATTTAGGAAGGTTCTCTTCTACAATTTGTTGTCTAGGGCTTAACTTCACTGTAGAGAAAATCATTAAAGATGCCTTTTAACCCTAAGCATATACGCCTAGGAGCATTATTTGTGGGAAGGTAGGCCTGTTAATGGCTCAGGTTAGGGAGGGCCAGCCTTGTCTTGAGCCCAGCCCAAAGTCCTACGAGGTAACTCCCAGCATGGGCTTGAAAATTTTGTTTGGCGTTGGGCCTGAAAGAACCGTGTCGAGCCGGGATGGGCAGGGCTTGTATAACTATGGGAATTGTTTTTTAACATGGGTACCATATAGTTTAAAACTTGAAGACCTGGCCCAAACCGGGCAAATGCTAGGGAAATAATTGGATTTTCACTTAAAATGATATATTTTTGTCCTGCAGGTTGTGAAAGAGGCCTTACAAATGGCAACAATAGTGCCGTGGTTTCCTAGGGAAGCCCTGGTTGATTGTCTAATTGGTGGTATGCTTTCACATTCTATTATTTTTACATAGTTAAAAAATAATAATAGATAAAAATATGATGGATGCTTCTACTATTTAAAAGGTAAAACCCAAATCACAAGTGACTTCGGATCTTGAAGTTCTGGAGTCACTTATGATATGACTTATTGATCTTCAAGATTGGAACTTATAGGTGATTTCAGATCTGAAGATCCGAACTAGTGTCAAAATAGAAAACATAAAAGATTGAGGTTAGAACGGGGTATATAGGGGCTTGACGTAAATTACTATGTGTCTTCAGATCTTAAAGATCGAAAGTAATGGTACATGGGGAAATTAAAAAAATAAAAAAAAAGGAAAAAGGGTACATGAATAAAAGAATAAAATTTGGGGGAGATTTCTTTCATAATTGAAAATCTACAGAATCTATGCATAGATTTCTCTTTAGTTTTTATTTTTATATTAAAAAATTTTGTTGATTTCTAATCCTTTTTTTAACCCCTCTCACAGGTTTCCAAATAAGGAAAGGGTGGATTGTGAACATTGATGCTAGGGCAATACACCATGATCCCTCCATATACAAGGAACCCATGGAATTCAATCTACTAAGATTCCAAGTGAGTTATCCCCCACCCAGACTCTTCCTAAATTCCCCCCTTTGCCTCTCTCTTTTATTAAGATTATTATTAATGTTTTAGTTCATCAAATCAATCTAATTTAGGAAAATTTTACTTCAGTTTTTAAATAAATAAGCATGTAGATGCAATAACTCCATCTCCCCTGCTCTTAGAATATGATCATCTTTTATTTGTTATTTTGGGTATCTTAATTTCAATCATCCCTCATTCCCTTGTAGGAAACAACTTAAGCTTATATTTTCTACACACACATGCAATTTACATTTCTTCTCTAAAATTAAGTTTTTGTCCTTTTAGAATTGAATCTTAATGAGTTTTGTGAATGATTAAAGAAATATGAACAAAGTGGTCTTGTAATGCAAAGGGATTATATACTATGAGATTTTTTGATGAAAGACTAAATGTGATCTTGTCGAGGGATATATTTTTTTCAGTTTTCTTCTTTTCGTCTATTTTCTTTTATTTTTCTTTTCTTCTGGCAAAGATCACTTACAAGTAGTCTTCTTACAACAACTTTTGCTTCAAAGAAAATAAAACTAACAAATCCAAAATATGAAAAACGTTGATTCTACTAAACCAATTTTCTTTAATTAAAGAAAATAACCACAATTCTTATGCTTGAGAACGTAAATACTATATAATTAAATATGGTAAGAAACAAAAACAGAGTGACGGATATTACCTCAACCAAACTTATTACGCTTCACAACGAGATATCACCATTCGATGACGCAGGATCAATGATAAACCTTCAATCTTAACCAGGAAAGCATGTTTAACCAAACCCTCCAATGGAACTATGAATTCCTCTCAGATCACAAATCTCAAACTTATGTTCAAACCCATGAAACCTAGTTCAAGAGAGATATCATCTGCTTACTACTACCCAACCCTTAGGATCAACACCACCACAAGATAAGCCAAGAGAGAGAGATAGATCTAGGTAGGGCGTGCCCCTTCTTACAAAACTTTGGAACAGAGAGCGCTTCTAGGTTGGGCATGCCCCCTTAGGCTTTAGAGAGAGAGAGAGAACTCCTAGTTTGGGGCGTGCCCCCTTTAACTTACCAACTGGAGAGATATATATATTTAGATAGAGAATAGAGATTTAAGTGTCGAGATTTGGGTAGGGATCAATCCCTTTTTATAGTACTTGAACAAGGTTAGGGTTTCTTAGGGTTTTCCTTGGCTTGCCTCTTCTTGTGAGATTGAATGTGAACCATTGATCTTGGGTAATTTGTGGGATGAGAGACTTGATCCTTCCATTCCATAAATGGGTCATCAAGATCATCGAAGTTTTTGAAACCTTTATCCATCATTCCTAAACTATTTTCCCTCTCAATAGAAATTCAATAAAATAATTTTATTTATAATATAGTGTTTACCAAAATTATGCACAAGCCTTCGCATATTTTCCAAAATACTTTGAAGGCTTCCTCAAGGCAATTTTTTTTCAAAACGCTACAAAGCTTTCTCCTCAAGCCAAAGCTTGAACTAACACAATGAAAGTTTCATGAGGGTGAGTCGTGCTACCCTAGGTTCATGGGCCCCACCCATATGCAATGGTAGATCCATTAACATATTGGGCCTCCCATGCAATATTAAAATTATTAAAATTAATAATATTATTTTTAGAAATCCATAAAATCACATTTGAATATTTTAATTAATCTAAAATCAATATCTCCATTTTTATAAATCTAACTTTGATAAATAAAATATCCAAAGATTTAAAAAAATTCAAATAACAGTTCTAAAAATCATAACATTAAAACTCACATAATTAAATTCATTAGATGGGAAAATGATCCATATGGTCTAAGAATTAAATAAATAAACATTGGGGCACACCACCTTCAAGTGTGGACAACAGTCCACACTTACTTTATCAAACAACCCAGTGTTTCCCATGACCTACAGTCTATGAAGGAGCTCATTAGTGGGTCACTAAAGTTAGGTCAATGAGCCAAGGGGTAGTAATCCTAATTTATGGATTTCAGGTTTTTCCCTAAAGACGTATCAAGGTCACCTAGACCTGATGCGACCACAGCTCTTATGGCGCATAGAGGTATCTCTCGCACATACATAAGCTTCACCCTGAAATGTGGTTCACTTTCCCGAAATGACTATCATATATGTATGGGATGTGATGGCTCGCGGATGAGGCTTTGGCCACCGTATTTGAAAGCCACCATCACACACAAGGGTCACACAATCCCTTGGCTCACTCATCTGGGCATACTCTAACCTCATCAAGGAATGATCTATTCGAACCCTGATTAGATAGTTTTTTATGTTCATGTAACATAGGTTTTTCCCAACCAACTGGCTTAGCTCGAAAAGCTTAGTCCGGTATCAACAAACATTGTTTGCTTAGTATGGTTCACACAGGACCACACTCCCACTAAGTTCATGTTCTATTATATCAAAATATTTATTAGAAGCACTCATAAGACCTTTAATGCCCACACGCACCTAACAATTTTTACCTTTGTTACAAGGAGATCATAAATACCCTTAATCATCTAATTTTAAATTAGACAGCATACGATGTGTCATGAAGTTCAAGAAATTTTTCTTTGAATTTTGAACTCAACCAATGTGTCATCCACAACCATCTTATTTGAAATCCGATAGACGAGTAATTATGATCTCCTCATACCAAAAGTAAATGGACTTTAAATATACTTTTCCTAATGCAAATGGGCAATGCAATCTACAAAGGTAACATATAGGAGGCAACAACCATTTTTCAAGAAAATAAAGGGAGCCGATTAAACCATTACTTTATTTTTTCTTTTCTTTTATTTTTCTTTTTTTCTTGTCATAGTGCAATTTGCACTTGTTCTAGCAGAACATCAATTTTCCACATTTAGCAATGGATACATCATAAAGTAGAAAAATATTAGGGCTGTCAAATTCAACTATATTCACTTTTTGAACCTTGAGTATTTTGTATGTGCATGTGAAGTATGTTTATGTGGAAGATTGGGAGAAATCGGTAATTGAGAAAATTGGCAGCAAAATATGTTAGGATATGGATATCTCAAGTTCATATTGATATACATCACTATGGATGTATGGATATATATCTCTTGATAAGATTAGGTATATAAAACATAAGAAGAGACCAAGTCAAAGTTACTTGGTCATCAAATTAATTTGGTGATAAGGCCTCCTACTATTTACATCTATCTCCAAGAATCATACGATATTTATCTCTTGTAATTGTGTGATTGTCTTCTATATATAAAGGTACCTATTGATGTAAACAATCATCCAAAATAGTGAAGATGTAGTCTGTTGGGCTTTGGATCCGTAGACGTAAGTCTTCGGCCTGAACCACGTAAATGTTATGTTCTCTCTTTTTCTCTCTCCATTCTCCATGCAATGTCTGTGCATATATGCTCCCACAAATTTTAACATGGTATCAGAGCGAGGTTGATCTATTGCTAAATGGGGTTGTTTTCGTCGCTCTTGATCATGGTCTATATGGGTTCATCCATATTCATGGAACGAGTTGAAGCTATCCTTATGCCTTTGCCACAAACATTGAGTCAATCTCCAATTTGCTGGGGAATGTTTTTGCAATATATGGTACAATGAGCATGGATTGTGATGAGCATGCAATATCTAGTGCGGTGCGGTAGATGTTGGTGCTGTTTTTCTTCTTACGCTCTATGTTTTAGGCCCTTGTCATCTCTGTCGATTTTCTGCTCAATTTGGTATGCGATCTTACTTGTCTGGTTACGCTCTTGTTGGAATCTTTTGCGTGACTGTTACGCTCTTATCTCAACCCCAACATCAGAAAGAAATTGTTACTTTTTTCTATCATTCAGTAAAGGTTGACTGTCCAATTGAGAGTTTTTTCGTTGGACGGGAGCTCAGGCACAATGATGTAAATGTACTCAAAAGATGATTGTTTATTAATAGCTGAAAATAGTTAAGCTTAAGCCATCTTCTTCAATAATTATAGTATATAGAAACCTCTGTTTCTATAGTCATCAGTGCTGAAGTATAGCAATTTGAAGTTTACAAAAAAAAAAGAGAGGCAGCATCATAACTCCTACCCATAAAGGAGAGAAGAGGGAGATCGAGTTGGGTTGAGTTGGGTTCATTGCGTTTGGTTATGTTTGGAGATTACTTACTGCCAATAGAGTTTGGAGATTGGTATTTACGTTCTGACAATAGAATTGGAGATGGTTTTGATAGAGAGATTGATTTAGTGCACCATTGATCTAGGGGTTTTCTCTCTGTGAGAGAGAGAGAGAGAGAGAAAGAGAGAGAAAGAGAGAGAATAGAGAGAAAAAGAAGTGAGAGAAAGAAGGGAGAAGTAAAGAGTAAGAGAAAAAAATAAATTAGAGAGCCTACACGTTTATAGGATTTACGATCTTCTGATCTGCTCAAGATAAGCCATGCATTAGCCATTTGGGGTAATTTGAGGAGCACTATTGTGGGAAGCTCTCATTCCTTGTGGGAGCAAGTTGCTTGGATCTATGCTAACTAAAGATGGAGGTATTTCAAAGGTTTCGGATTTTCTTTTGATTTCTGTTGGCTCTTCCAAGTGCCTCATGTTTGATTAATCGAGCCTTTCGATCTTGTTTGATGATCAAGTTTTTCGTTACTTGATCATATTTGATAATTGAGTTTCTCGTTACTTAATCTTATTGTATGATGGAGTTTTCCGTTACTCCATCCTGTGTGATGATTGAGTTTACTCGATCCCGTCTGTTTTGGATGCTCATGTTTAATGATTGAGTTTTTCGTTACTCAATCATATTGGATGATGATGTATTCCGTTGCTCCATCATGTGAGATGATCAAATTTCTTTTTGTTATTCGATCATGTCTATTGATTGAGCTTTTCGTTACTCGATCTTGGAAATTCTGAAAGCCTGTTTGTCAATTATTGATCGAGTTTTTCGGTACTCAATCCCGAATGTTCCTGAGGATCTGTTTGTTCAATCTGCTGTTAATCGAGG